TTAACATAGGAGTGCTTTTATTTGTTTGTTTAGAATGAGTCAAATTTGAAGTTCAATTTCATCACAAATTCAATAGCGAAGGATATAATTTCATTGGATAGTAAGAATTTTCATATTAATATTTTGGCCGGCAAGAATCTTACCTTCGATCACCTGACAATTACTGCACCATGCCATAGTCCCAACACTGATGAAATTCACTTGGGTGATTTAGAAGAAGTTAGCATTCTCAATACCGTAATCGCAACGGGAGATGATTGTATATCTATAGAATACACTAACAAAAAAATAACTATTAGTGATGTTACTTGCAGACCGTGACATGACATTAGCATAGGCAGCTCAGACAAGTATAAAACTGAAAAAGAAGTGGTAGGAGTTACAGTGAAGAAATGCAAATTAATAAGTACTACAAATGGTGTCAGGATCAAAACATGGCCAGATTCTGCCCTCTCGTATCCAATCTCTGACATGCATTTTGAAGATATTGTTCATGGAATCAATGCAACCGAAAGGTATGTATTAAAATCGAACTTCGCTGGTTTGCACCAACTAATTATCTTTTGAACAAATATTTATTAATGTTTATTTTGAATATTTAGATTCCATCAACAATTAAGATTAGATTAGCAAAGTAACCTAATGTTTTATTTTCAACCTTGAGGTTCCATCAACAATTAAGATTAGCAAAGTTAATTAATGTTTTATTTTGAACATTCACGTTCCATCAACCATTAAGATTAACAAAGTTAATTAATGTTTTATTTTGAACATTCACGTTCCATCAACAATTAAAATTAATAAAGTTAGGCCCCTGCTCCTCTTGTTGTAGTCAAATTTGTTTACCATAAAAGTAATCCATTACCTCACTTATAGTGGTAAAGAAGGGTCAATTGTGTCTGAGTGTGCAAATGACAAACCGACCATTTCTGAAAAGCAAAACCCTCCCATATGTGCTAAACCGGCGCCAATTGAGACCATTCCATCAACTGATCGTAATCATTGAATAATTGAGACCGCTCCATCAACTGATTGAATTTCAAACCATTCTTCCTAACATTTTTATTTTAACTTTCAAAACTCCTAAAATAAGCCAGCTTGATTTACAACATGCCACAATGTTGGGCATGTTTTCAATAATTGATATTTAGCTTTCAAAATTTCTAAAATAAGCCAGCTTGGTTTACAACCTCCCACAATATTGGACAATGTTTTCAATAATTGTATTTTTTTACATTAAGGAGAAATAATACTTCTGAGTATAACAATTTTATTTTCTACTATAATAAAGTAGCTATCACATATATGTCATAATTGTTGAATTAATGATTTTATTTAAAATTATTACTTAAAACTAAATTGCATAATTTGATAGGTTGAGTTATGTATGGAAAAATGCTTTTCAACCGAACTTCAAATAGTAATACTTGAAAAGTTAGGAGAGGATTGATTAGGTGCAACTGGTTCGAGAAAACCGACTATATTTTCTTTTTCAACTATAACAATATGCTATTAAATGTATGAAATATAAACTTAATATGTTAAAACAATATACATAAATCAAACTTTTTTTTTTCTCAACTCTAACAATATGCTATTAAATGTATGAACTATAAACATAATATGAAACTATGTTAAAACCATACAAAAACTAAACTCATCCTGATATGAAGTATATGTGAAACAATTTATGAGATTCATAATGTACATATTTGAATAAATATGATTTTTTGTTAAAAAAAAAAAAAGATACATATGATAAAAATACCAAAAAATTAGAAATTATAAATAATAAATATAAGAAGGTTGGCATTCAGAAAGTTGAGGGTTGGACTCCAATTACTCAGTCACAACAATTATTTCGTTTCATCTCACTTAAGCCGTTCGAAATCGATCAGAGAATACATTTTTTTTTATGGCTCCAGTTCAGCTTCTTAACTCTCTTGGCTATTCCACCTCGGATTTGATATTTTAGACCCTTTTGAGGCTGATTGAACCAATGCAGGTTTGATTTTTTTTTTTTTTTTTTTAACACTCTCAAGGTCGACTGATTTGATTTGAGTCGAATACGTTTGGACCATTTCCTACCATATTTTACTTTCCCACAAGTGTTTGACACTTTGGACAGGTAGTTTAAGCTTCCATTAAGGGAGATTGGGCTTATTGTTGTATGAATGATACGTCCTATTTTATAATTGTATGTCATGTACTATGTTACCAATTGTGCCCTAAAGTGTGTGACGTGTTTCCTTTCTTCCAGCACAACCTGTTTGTGGCTATGAGTAAAAATTGCATCTCCTTTTATGAATTCAATGCGAAACCCAAATGGACACACTAACATCACTATCAACCTAGTAGGATTAGTCTATAAACAATAGATCTTATAATAATCATTCAATATATGGACGATATTCAATTATCAAATTCTTGAGCCTACCATATTAAATGCTATACAAAAAGTTCATAAGTTCAACTCGTATCCCATCAAACTCTAAAAGTCGTCAAATAGATGAAACAACTCTAAGAGTTCATGAAAGGGTATAGTAAGCAATATAAGGTAAATATTTGTCTCTACACATCAAGCAAAGAAATTGGGAAGTGTTAAAAATATAATCATTGTTCGTGTTAAAAAAAATGGTACCAATTAGTCCTAATAAAAGCGGATATACTAATTAGATTGTGGGTCATTCTATCATCATAGTTGGGTAGAATTGAGTACTTGAATATGACATTTCTCCAAAAATTTTGGATGAAACTGTCATAATATAGTTACTAGGAAAGTAATTTTACATTCCGTGTTCCTGTCTCCTGCCCTAATCCCCATCTCACCACTTCCTTTTCTCTCGGTTAAAATTTGAATTTTTAGAAATTATGTTGAACATTAAGAAATATTTTTTAATTTATTAAGATATTTTTCACATAAATTTTATTGAAAAATAAAAATTATCCCTAAAAAAAATTATTTGAAAGGAATATATTTCTTTTAAAATATACATAAAAATGGAGAAAAATCATTATAGGGATAGGGACGACGATAATTTCTTTACTAGAAATTCCTACCCTAATCCCGATTTTCATAAATGAAAATTTTCGCAACAATGGAGAATGAAATAGGAGGCAGGGATGAGGAAGACGATAATTTAAATAGGAAGTAGGGATGGGGACAACAATAATTCTCCATCTCTGCCTCATCCTGTAAACATCTTTAATGGTTGGTTCTAAATAACTCCAATATACAAATTTGAAAATCGGCATACTTTCTTGTAACCCTAATCGATAATTTTGTCGTAATTTGGTACGAAATTAGGTTAGAGTAGGGTAAAGAAGATTTGGAAAAGCATAAGATTTGACTTGGAATATGCAAAATTAGAGTTGAAAATGTGTTAACAATCAATTGGGTTGTAGGAGAAAATAAAATAGTAATTGATCCCAATGGTCAGAGGTTTTATTTATTGTATTTCATTTATTTATTTCAATAAAAACGTTCATATGTGCAACCATCAAGTTGTCAATATATTGGTTGACCTTGTGATGACGTGACCCAATTTAATAGGGAGATGGGAAACCCTAAAATGAGTAGTCGACAAGCTTAACTTCTTTCACTACAATTCTTTAATTGTGTCTCGTGGAGAATACTTTGCTTTTTTTTTATTTCTAGTTAATTTAATCTTACTACATACCGGGACTAAATTATAATTTAATTTTATTATTATTATTTAACGATATTGGTCTCGTAGAATATTTCTTAAATTATAAGGTCAGTTCTTAGATTTTTAGGGTAGTAAAAAAGTATTTATGTGATACTCGAGTAAATGAGAAATACATGAATAATATGAGACCATATTCAAATGAGATCGATTTTGAGAATAGGATGACTTAAAGAAAATAGTAGTTATTGCATATGTCAACAAATTGCACTTTCCTTTTCCGTGGCTCAATCATAAGATGTTCAGTGTGTTCTGCTTTGAGTAATTTTGTGTTGGGTGACCTAGAAATTTTCCTATAAACATTTTGCGGGGGATGCAGTAGTAGAATATCGCGGACATCGCGGACATATACGAATTCTAAATCCTGATATGATTCTTGGACATGAATCTAATAGATGAGCTTATATTTTTAATTTTGGGTCTCTTTAAGAACTTTTTAATAACTCTTTGATCTATTGGACAAAGAAAAAATATTGCTAGCAAATATCGTCATCAAACTCACGATTTTAAAACATGTCAACTAGGGAGAGGTTTCCACATTTTTATAAGAAAGGTAGATTCGTTCTCTTTTCCAACCAATGCGAGATCTCACAATCTACTTGTTGGGGGTTAGCGTCCTCTGACACACCGTCGTATCTAGCTTTGATACCATTTGTAATAATTGAAACACACTAGCAAATATTGTTCACTTTAGCACATTACGTATTAACATCAGCCTCACAGTTTTAAAATGTGTATGCAAGGGAGAAGTTTCCACGTCCTTATAAAAAATGTAAATTCATTCCCCCTCCCAACCAACGTAAGATCTCACAATCTACCTCTCTATCACACACTCTAGTGTCTGACTCTGATACCAACCTAGGTTTCGACGGTAATATTCTATTTTTATTCGCATCACTATATTTGCACATACATCAAAATGCTATGAAAATTAAAGTATAAAGTCTAGAATGAACTATAATCTTATTAAAATCAAAATTAAATAGGAAACAAATGTCAGAGATTAAAAATGGTTGAAAATAAAATTGTCACATTTTAATACATTATACTATTTGGCTTCTAGATGGTGAAAAATTGTAAAGCCAAAGTTCAAACGTTGAGTTGGCAGTTAGCAAACTTATAATATTTTTGTACCCTTCACCTCTTCCTATGCTCCTTCATCCTTTGGGATATACGATGGGTCCTTTAAGTTTTCAAACCCCAAGATGCGGCGAACTGGATATTCCCTTCTCCTCAACTCTTCACTTTATTACCCACAAATCTTACGCCATTATAAATAGGTGAGGTGATGAGCATCTTCCCATTCCAACATTGGGTGCTTGTTTGGTGTATTGATACTCACAAAGGAAAGAGAGGAGTTGAATTGAGTAGCGAAGATGAGCGGCGTTGAGGGGTCTCCAGGGAGCTCGATGCATGGGGTGACAGGGAGAGAGCAAACCTTTGCGTTCTCCGTGGCATCCCCAATTGTCCCAACGGATACAACAGCTAAATTTGCATTACCAGTGGACTCCGAGCACAAGGCCAAGGTGTTCAAGCTCTTCTCCTTCGCCAACCCCCACATGAGAACCTTCCACCTTTCTTGGATTTCCTTCTTCACTTGCTTCGTCTCCACCTTCGCCGCCGCCCCTCTTGTCCCCATCATCCGTGATAACCTCAACCTCACCAAAGTCGACATTGGCAACGCCGGCGTCACCTCCGTCTCCGGCAGCATCTTCTCTCGTCTTGTCATGGGCGCCGTCTGCGACCTTCTCGGCCCTCGCTACGGCTGCGCCTTTCTCATCATGCTCTCCGCCCCCACCGTCTTCTGCATGTCCTTCGTCTCCGACGCCGCTGGCT